ACAAGAGGTCCTTTTATATGATCACTAATTAGCGGCCTTTTTTCTGACGAGGTGAACTTTAATATGAATTAATGTAAACATCGAGATATAAAGTTGATGAAGAAATTTAGATAGCAACCTTTTGGAGTTTTGGTTTTTTTAGCAACTTTTTTGCATTTCAGTAAGTAATTTTTCCAGCATTTTACCCTAAACACACGATGGTTAGATCGCGTGACTCCGTTTTCGTTCTAGCGTGACAAGCGGATCGACAAGGCACGTCATCGTGAGGTACTCAGGCCGATATCCAATCAAACTTTCCGTTAGATAATTGTGACGTAAAGGATCACTGTCTCACCGATCAGTAAACGAAAGAGCTTAGATTGTGCTTTCCTGAGCATTTTCAACATTCTGTATGATGAATTTATACCCTTGAGCTCTTTTTATTGTTCTGTCTGTTCGAGGGAAACATGCGTCGCTCAACGAAGGTTCATCCTCTGCGACCGTCGGACAGCCAACTTGACTCTTACCCTGAAAAGTCCACTTACTGTGTCAAATACTTAATATTTTTCATGAACGTTATCTTTTGGCTCGTTAGTTGTCTGATCTTGGCAATCGCTTCTTATGCTATGGTGGAAAAACAAGAAATTTACGGTAAAATAAGCCGTATGACCACCGATCCTGCGGCGATTTTGTTGGGCGTCGGTATCATAATGTTTTTAATTTCCTTCACTGGTTGCTTGGGTGCACTGAGAGAGAATACGTGTCTGCTGAAGTTTTATTATTTCTCTCTTTGCTTCATGTTGTTGTTGGAGGTCACAGCCGCAATCTTGGGCTACGTGTATTCGGGAAAAGTCAAAGCCGAGATGCATAAAGCGTTCACAAAGATGATCGATAACTATTTGGACGACCCAGATCTACAACTCATCATAGATACTACACAAAAAGAGCTGAAGTGCTGTGGTTCTGAAAAATACGCCGACTGGGAAAGGAATGCTTACTACAATTGTTCTTCTCCGTCTATCGAGAGTTGTGGCGTCCCCTATTCTTGTTGCAAAACCGACGAAGTCAACTCACAATGTGGATTTGGTGTTTTGACGCTTTCAGAGAACGAAGCCAGTGAAGTTATTTACACTCAGGGATGCTTGAAAGGTGTGGAGGATTGGTTTCGAAGTAATCTCATCTTAATGGCGTCTATAGCGGCTTGTCTACCCGTGTTACAGCTCTTTGGGTTCTGTTTGGCTCGGCGGTTTAATAATGACATTAACGATGTGCTGGCGATGCAGGGAAGGAACTGAACTTTGTTCAAGAAAAAATTCAGAGTATTTTTTTCGTTGTAGTGTTTAACTTATATTTACACATGCTTGGGATTGCATCAAACAACTGTAGATATCGATATTTAGACAGAAAACTTTCAAATTAAAAGTAGGCGATTTAAATTATATATTAACCTTCCTTGTTGGAGTTAAGAAATATTTGCTTTAAACACTAGTTTAAATGCATTTCTATGTGTTACAAACCGCAGGGGCAACATCTATTACGAATGTAGAAGTTTTTTTTTCCCGCGGATCTCACTTCCTTCTTCAAGTGCCCGTGCACTTAACTAGTTTATTGGACCTGTGTGTGAAGCCATGTTCAGCTTATCAAAGTTTGACAATATCTTCTTTATCCCGAGACTGAGTCAGAAGAGTGAAGTACTTTCAAGAAGGTTGAAAATCGTATTGGAGTGAAGAAAGGGATGCTAGTTTCAGGTGTGCATTCATTGAATAAATGTATTTGTATTTAGTACGAGTGTATAATAAAACAGTAAATAACTTTGAAGGCATGCTCTGATTCAGAATACTCAAACTCAGAACATCTTTTGTTATTTACCTCCAAGATCAGTAAGGCCTTGACACAGTCATGCGTTTGAATCACTGTTTTTTAAGTGGTACTTAATGTAAAACAATTTTTGGGTGAAAATTTGTTAATGCAAAACTTTTTCCACGGCAAATGACACACTACAACCACACAGATGTGTTAACAGAACTGATTGATTGATTCAAAACAAAACTGATTTGAACTGATTCAAATTTTTAATGATGGTTTGATTGAAAACACCTTATATAGTAGCTAATCCATACTTTTACCACCAATAGAATTTTTTGAAGACCTAGAATTTGTTTTGTGCTTGGAGGGGATATGTAAAACCATAACCAGCCCCATTGCTGAATTTGCTGAAATACACAATTTCACCATCTTCAAACCTTGATCAAGGGAAGTGAACATATTGTCTCTTTCAGTGGGCTCAGTCACCAACTGAGCACGTGCACCAACAAACCCATCTTTGGATGCTAACTAGTGAGGTTTGCATAACTTGGTGGTCAAATCAAGTGTTTGGAGGGGAAACCACCATTATCACTAAACTTGCTCTCAAGGGTAAAGGGGAAAGAATCGAGGCTGTCCCAAATTCAGAACTCAGGACTCCTAACCTCAGCTGAGATGGCATCACTGCTTGCATGGGACTGAAAGAAGTGGAGGAATTTGGTTGATGCTCTACATACAACTTTGTATGATGAAGTCAGGGGCTGATATCCTCCTTCATAAAGTAGCTATGCTTCACCTACTCACTCATAAATCACAAGGAAAATAATTGTGACTGTAAGCTGAAATCATGCAGTACTATCTGCTGTAAGACATAGTTATTGACTAAATAGAGAGCCATGTGGTCATTTCTAGTTTCACTGACATCTTCTTGTTTAATTCCACAACATACCCTAGAATTTTTAATTTGCCACAAAATGATATGCGCAAGACTTTGCTCTAAAAAGTTCCTCAAATACTTAAACTTGAATTCAAATCTTGCTCTGAAAGTTCAACTTCTCCTAGAATCCGAAGCCCTCTGATACACGATATACCATTCACCATTTATTTCAACTATCCATCATCTGGTGCTTCACAACCCACAATTGGGGCTGCAAGCTGAACTTTCTTACGAGTTGCCATCTTGCATAAAGGTATCCCCAGAAATGAAATTTAATTCTCCTCCAAAAAATTTGGAAGTCATCAATTAAAGCATTTCAGAATGAGATGATTACTCCAAATTTTTTTTCAATAAAATATCACGATAAGGTTTGCTAAGTATTTATGCGCACAGATGATTGTCAGAATTGTGCATACTCTGCTTACATAAGAACTTATTGCAGTCAACCTATTAAAAGTGATCACAATCTCAAGGCACTAACTTGCAAAAGTACTTCTGGCAGTACAATTTCTTGTTGTCTCTTGCATAGCAAATAAATTGGTACTAACAAAATAAAGCCCCTGATAATCACCTGAAGCTACCTCAAGCTTAGTAAACAATTGATGAGTTATGTAGATAATTTTTAATTTACCATAGCTTTTTGCTGAGCAATTGTCACCATAAGGAAACCCTAACATGGAGAGCCAAGCAACTCAAAGGGTGAAAATCAGCCACATGACCTCTCTTATTTGTTTTTACCATTCACGTATATATGGTGAGACTTTTTTCTATATATTCACTTACACATCAGACAAGGACTACAATATATGTTGGGTGATAATTCAAAGCTATTCAAAACTTAACCCTTTGATCTCTTGGAGTGACCAACACTGAATTTCTCCTTACAGTAATACCCCTGCATCAAACAAAGATCACACGAATAAAGAAAATGATCACCAACTAAAGACTCTCTTGATTGTGATGCACATTCTCCTTGTCATCACTTTAGGAAACATATGGAGAACCCTTTATGGAGAATATGCATTATGATGTTATGGTGTAGAGGGCTAACAAGCTGGAGCCTTCAAATCCAATGTGCACCTCCTCACCATAATCAGGTCACTAAAAAGGTCCTGCTCAATTTAACCACTAACAGCATTGTTTTAGGCCTGAATTTCTTTCTTAAAATTGTTCTACCCCCTATCACCATATCCTCTTGGTTTGTCTCTATATGTGGATGTGCATGGATCAAATAATGTTATGAATATTGTTCTATTAATAATCTATTTATGATAAATTCCTCCTTGAAATAGCTATCTGCCTGGAAAACGTAAGATTTGTTATCAAGTTGGCTTGTTTACTTTGTTCTAAATATCACACTACTTCTAAGTCAATTTACTTAGGCATTAGAATCCATTAGACAGTTATAATCTATAATTATTTATATATTAGAATTATGCAACAGGAAGGTGTTCTGAGTGGAAGATTGGCAAGTGATCCTTTGTGCAAGTGCTGGTTATTCCACAGTTACAGACTTGGCCAAGTTGCGTGGACAATCCACCTGCAGAAGACCAATAAAGAGCAAGCTCAAAAACATTGTTACATTTGTTAATAACAATATCATAATCCTGGTTAGAGGGGAGGTGAGGGTGTAAACTCTCAAATGAAAGGAGATCAGCTCTGTGCTGTCTGTATAAAATGGTGCCAGCAAGCAGGTTAGCGTTTTTAAATAACAACCATCAATCCACAATAGCTGCCTGCTAAAGGTGAATTGAATGGAGCGTTGAGTAGTTGCAAAGATGAGGTCAAAGAGACAATTCAAAATATATAACAAAGCTAAAGAGGATCATAAAAAAGATAATTTCCATTGTCTCCGGCCATTGTCAGACAGAGTAAAGCTACAGAAATACACTGGCCAAAGCCCATGCACAGTTCTCCTGTAGGAGATTATAGGGGATGGGTCTAACAATAACAAGAATTCACTGAAACTTGAGCAAAAAAGGATATATTTCTGGCAAAAGATTAAATCAAAGAACTGCGAAAAAAATTTCAAGAATATTATCTGCTGGCTGGTTCTCTTTGTTTTGATCATCCTCTGGACTTGTTTTGCAATTTCAATGCCACTGACACTACCTAAAGACATCTTCCTGCTTTTTTTAGTTCCCCTGAATGCAAAAAGTATGCAAACACACTACAAGGGTTGTTTTATTGTCACAGTGTTTTTAAGCCACATTTATGGGTATGTGCTAGGCAATTCAGGCAATCTGAAAGTTTAACCAATCAAAAAACAGGATTTAGTATGTCTTGCCTGCTGATGCTGCTGTCTTTAAAATAAATAAATATATCTTAAGATTTGGTAAAATTCTCAGGTCCATCTCCATGACTACATGACTTGTATATAATGAAATAGTCAATGGAGACAATTAATATTAAAATTGATCACTTGTGAGAGTTAGAGGGACCAAAGAAAAACTGTCAGTGTAGAATGGTTGCCCTCAAATGCATTCACTGCCTCAGATGTGACCTTAAACAATTGTTACTAGTAATTCACAAATTTTGTCATTCACAATGTAGAGTTACAGGGAGGATTAAATCGCTGATGTTGTGGTTTGTATTTGGTCTTGTCTTGAATGTTAGCCATTCACTCACATCATATCCACGAAGCACAGCAATGTGAAAAGACAACAACTGCAGTGGAATGACTGACAAGATTCCCTGAAGGCAGTCAACAGTTCTGGGCACCTCAAGAGTGCGGAAGGCGTGGTCTTTTACTTCTTCATCACCTTTATTGCAAATTAGTATGGGGCGCCCCTGAAAAAAATAACATAAAAAAATAAAATAAAAAGTTTTTGATAGGTGTGGAAAAACCTCTTCAGAGCTAAATTTTACTGATTTTAGAGCATTCCAAATTTTTATAACTTGTGAAACTCTGTCATAAACATCCTTAAACATTTTTGATAGATACAAACTAATAGAATCTTGGGAGCTTCATATCAATCCTCCCTGTTTTTCACATTCCAAAATGTTTCCTTGACTCTGTCTCCTCAATCAAATTCTTGTTACCCAATTGCTGGAAAAGGTGTTGATGCTGCAGTGAGAAATTTCTCTTTGTTCACCCCTAGAGTGAATGGCCAGTTTACTCAATAAAGCTGTCAACAGGACTTGACTTGTAAAAACAAATTTTGTAAATGTTTTGGCTTCTTCAAAATCAAAAGATCATCATGCACAAGCAGAGAATTAAGATGAGGTTCTTTTTACCTGGCGTGCTGTCACCTGCTGTAATGCATTCATGCATTTCTGTAAAAAAAAAATTTAATCATGTAGATAAAGTCATACATAGGACACAAACTTTTGGTCACAATTTTTAAACATGCAAAAAAAAACCTTTAGTTTATGGTGAGAAAATTAGATATTAAAAACAATATGAAACAATTAAGAGGATGAAGAGTGCAGAATTAAAATCAGTGTGAGACAGATTGCAAATCAGCGACTATTTTTCATTACCACAAATTACCAAGAGGCTCAAGTATGTTTTGGTGGAAAGGGAATCAAAGACACTTATCAGAAGCTTCTAACTCACTGCACTTAATTAATGCACAAATATCACCATGGTTTTTATAATAATTCAAACACAACCTGGCTACCCTTCGAATGGGTGCCAGTCTCTTTAATAAAAAAGGTTAAAATTGATGATTATTGTTGATAATTAATGAAGAATAGCTCTAAGAATACCCAATATACAGCTATTGGAACTACACTGTTTAAGTCTCATTGCTATTTTTGTTAGGCTTTATACATTTTCAGTTGAGCCTACACTAAAGTGAAAAAGTAAACAATTTTCTAAACAAACCGCAAATACTGCATCCCTTGACACCAACATAATAACAGGCATGTTCTTATCCACAAGAGCTAATGGACCATGTTTGAGTTCCCCAGCAAGGATACCTTCTGAATGCATGTATGTCAACTCCTTAATTTTCTGGAAATAAAAATTTAAAAAAAAAAAAGAAGTTTATGTAAAAGTTTGATTTAATGTCTGACAAAAAAAAGCTTAAAAATGACTAAAACTATCATAATGATGAGTATTCTGAAAATTTATTACCTAATGTTCTCCTTGACTTAGAGCAGGATAGAATTTAAAGTAGTTTTCCAAACTGGTAAATTGAGAGTGTCATCTGTTAACACTTTCAATTCCAAGATCTCAGTTCTCCACACTGTTTGTCTTGCATTTAGTATAATTTAGTTCAGAGAATTTAGCATCAAATCAAACAAGATCTCCTCCTTTCATATTTTTTCTGTTTTCTTGTTACCTTTCAGCTTGAAATTGTTAGTATTGCGGTCACTCCTAGGCAACTGAAAGGGGAAATAAGTGCTCCAACCTAAGGTAAATTTTGCCTTTTACTGAGTGCCTAATACAGAGAAAACTAGAACTACTTCTGAATTGTTTCTATGCTTTTACTAGTAAGGAAATTTGTAGCAGTCTCTTTTTTGATACATGCAATAGTTCACACTGTAAGATTCACCATGTAAAAACCAAAAACCATCCATTCACCAATAAAAAATTCAAAGCAATGTAAACTGTATATTAAGTATGACTCCAATTGATCAAACATATGGTATAACTCTTTAATCAAACCACAAGGCAACCTTACATTACTGAGAACACTGCATCAATTTCAAATGAAGTTCATTACCAGAGCTCCTTCCAGGCAAGTTGCAAACTGAAACCCTCTGCCCATGACAAGAAGACTCTTCTGCTGATACATCTCTTGTGCCAGGGACTGGATTTCTTCATCTAATTTTAGAACCTCCTTTATCAGTTCTAGGTAAAATTACAATAAAAACAGCTGGAGTTAAGCAAAGGAACTGGTTAGGTAACAATTGTTAACATTATTATTAAATTCACATGTAAATGCTAACTTTTAAACCTGGATGTTATAAATAAACTGTTGTGTCCACTCAGGGTCCTGTGAGGAAGTTTCTGATAGGTATTTAAAGTTTCTTATGTTTAATGTGTGGGTCGTGTAATGGCATAATGGGTGGTGTACTAGACTCCAAGTTGAGAGGTCTTGATTCAAGACCTGGCCTGGTCTATGTGTTGCATTCTCAGGCAAAACACTTTAACCCTTTACACCCAAACATCAGTATGCATATTCTCCATACTGTTCTCTATACATTTCCTAACGTGCTGACTAGGAGAATTTGTTTAACAATTGAGAGGTTTTTCAATTGATTATCACTTCCTTTATTCTCATGACCTCAATGTTTGATTCAGGGATGATACTGAAAGGAGAAAATAGATGCTGGTCCCTCTCAGGGCTTAAAGGGTTACAGTGCCTCTCTCCACCCAGGAGTATGTATAAATGGCTACTGCTAAATAGTCAAGGAAGTGTGATGAAATGCTGAGAGGTAACTTGGCGATGGACTGGTATCCCATCCAGGGGGCTTGTAGTGATACTCGTAGTTGCTTCATGCTGAGGAAACTGACTGGGTGGACCTCTTAGCTTGAGTAGTGACTACTTTGCTATGTGATACGTAAAATTTTGTTTCATAAACTGCAAATTTACCTGGTAATTTCTTCATCCCTTCAATTATTTCCTGACGCCGCTGTTGCATGGAAATTCTATCTTCAGACATCATCAGGGCAAACATGGTCAAAGCAAGGAACTGACTTGTGTAAGCCTACACAATACCAAAATATGGTCACACTTACCAAAAGTTAACAAATGAAGAAAAAAAAACACCCAGCCCACTCATGGCTTTTAATAGTTCGGTGACATATTACAAAGAAGAGAAATTATTTTTTCCCTCCTTATAACTTGCCAGATAAAAAGTTTCATTTTAGCTGGACAGCACTTGATATGAAATTAGTTTTAAGTGATATAAGCAAATTTTGCTACATTTAAAGCACCTTTGTACTTGCAACACCAATTTCTGGACCAGCATTGATGTGACATCCACACATACTTTCTCTAGAGATTGAACTTCCCACTGAAAATAAACAAAAACAGACACAAAAAACAATAAAATAATGGTGATCAAATTTTTTGATACTGTGTTAGTAACAACTTACAATATCTAAACTAAAAAATTAGCAATCTATTTTTTTTATTTGCAACACAGTTACTGTTACTGCAGTAGTTATCAACATGAGCATGATGAAAGTCTCTTAAACATGGAGTACAAAAGATTTGTCAAGAAAGGTGAACACTATTATCTCCATCAACAAATGCCACTCTTTTGTAGCAAACAGATCTCAGTAAAATTAGTAAAGAAATAGAAGGGAAAAAAATTAGAGATGAGACATGAAACAATCAAACAATTCAACAGTATAACTACCAGTAATTAGAGGTACAAATGTACATTTCAATGTTATTATTAATAATAAGTATTATAATAATTATTCTGTAATCAATGTTGTACACATTGCTGGTTTTTTATACCTGTATTGGTGATTCCCACAATGAGTGCTCCTCTCTCCTTACAGTACCGCAAAGCATTTAGAGTGTCAGCTGTCTCTCCTACACAGAATAGTTTATCATCAAAAATGTGTAATGCAATGAGTCTCTCTCTGACCAAGTTGAGAAGTGATTGGCCATTTTCTACCCACAAGCATCAACACAATCATGCCTGTACGAAGATCTAACATCTAATCCCAAGGATGGGAAGAAGAATATCACAGTGTATCAAATCGTGATTTACGTCATTATCAATTAAAATGAAAGTTTACCTGACTGACTAATAAAGAAACACACATCATCTCTAAATATCGGTGTTGATCTATCGAGGAAATCACTGGCCAGCTCTACAACTACAGGAAGTTCTGTGAGTTCTTCCAACAACTGTCTTGTCTGCAAATGAAAAAAACAATGAGCTGGAGTTTTTTGACTCACTATTTGGGAGAAATTTGAACTAGAAAAGAGCACATTACTGTGGGCTATCTTCAATTAAGTTAATAAAAATCGAGGGTAGTTGTTGTACTTACTGCTAAAGCACTGTGATAGCTTGTGCCACAAGCAATCATCAATATTCTTCTGCATCGACGAATTGTATCAATATGAGACATTAGGCCACCAAGTCTCACTGCCAAATTTAAAGAAAATGTAAAATTTAAACAGCAATATTAAACAATAAAAAAATCAATAAAGATGAAATAATTCCAACATATATGTATAGTATCCTGTACTGTTTAATTCACGAAGTATGATGCAACAACAGATTCTGCACATTTCAAGCAATGCACATTGGCCTGTCTTCTAACTGTTTGACCACTAAGAGCAACTATAATCGAATTTCTCCTTACATTTATCACCCTTCACCATTGTCACCCCTTGCAATATCATCCCCTTACAAAATCACCCCTTAACTACACATAAATGTCACCAGAATAAAGGAAATGATTGCCAACCTAGGAATCTTTGATTTTTAAACAAATTCCCCTTGTCTGCACCTTAGGAAATGTATAGAGAACATGCACATTGAAGTAAGGTGGTGAAGGGCTAATAACTGTACACAAGTATTATTTATATGTAGTTTTAGGATTGAATGCTCTGAGGAACTCAGGGGGTAGGGTCATAAATGAGAACAATAAAACTTCCACAAAGGTTGAGTGAAAATCTATCTTAAAAGATTTTTGCTGATCACAAATCCTTTATTAACCAAGCCTGTTTAGTCAGAATGGCTACCTGCAGATCTTGTTATTTTTTTGGGGGGATATTTCTCATAACCACTTTCCAATCTCTGGCTTGGTTCATAACGCAATGATAAGTTTATAAGTTTATCTCCTAAATAGATATCATTACTCAAGGTTCTCCCAAATGTCCTTACCACTTCCTGATTCCAAATTGACTCTTCCTCTCATTGTATTAACAACACTTTCTGGCTGTTCAAAAATCTCTTTCTGCATAAAGGAACTGTAATTCCCTAAAGGAAAGTCAAATCCAGCTGTAGTTCAATATCACCAATTAAACATTCATTAGGACCTCCATGCTGACATGAAAAGATCCATGAGCCCCATCAATGGGTTTCAAACTTTTGAACTAGAAAAACAGTTACAATCACTGGAGTGAATTGTTGTTTTCATTTAATTCAGGTTAAGCTGAGCATCAATTCTTATCCAGCTTGTTATAGAAGATGTTGATTTACTAAGAAGGAATTTCCAGTAGGGATGGTGTGGGGTGAAGGCTGGCATTATCTAAGGGTAGGCAAAGTTGATTTGTTAATAGTCAGCTATTGAAACATTGCTTCTTCTTCATTGAGAGGAGCCAGTAAAGAGGATCCAGGGGAGGGGAGGGGAAGGGGATGCTGTTATACCTGAACATGAATGATAACAGAGCTCTACTCTTGCATATTTAGCACTTAACGAAGGAAAAGTCTGTACCATTTACAAATACATAACTTGCCATCTTCCCAACACTACTAAAACCTTTTTTAAATTCATTAATGCAATAATTTGCAACATTTCTCAAGTGACATACATCATTCTATAAAAGAGCTGTTAATAAGCTGCACATTTACCTTTCATGATCTGTTGCAACTCCATTTGAAGTGTCTGAACTTCTCTGAAATAATTCTCCTCTGATGCATCTCCACGCTTTATACGATGGATTGAAAGATCTGCACACAATACAAAAACCATGATCATGATATTTCAATATCTATGGATCAATCTTGCTGTGTAAAGGCTTCCTAGCTCGGCAACTGCCTGCACCTAAGTTCATTTTGGTAGCAACAATGGGCATTAAGGAAAAAATTCTGTTTTAACTTTCCAACTAATCACACAGTCAGGTAATTCACTTATGCATTTTAAGAAAATTGGCCTTTGCTCAATAAATTTTCTATTTAATAATCAGCGCAGTGAAAAAATTGACAATTTATGAAAATTTACTCTGCCAGTATATGGTGCTCATTAAAATAAATGAAAAAAAGTGAAGTTTCAAGTCAATTAATACTTACTTCCATTACAAACTGCAGCAACATCATCATCTTCCAAGTAGATCACTCTGTTAGTATGCTCAATAACAGCACTGAGGATTAAATACTTTCATTAATAATCCAGAAATTTTATACCTTGTATATTTTGGGTACAAATTCAGTTTTATCTTCACTTCTAGATCATTGCTTCAACTGATTTTCAATGTCCCCTGATTAATGGTATGTAATGAAACAGGGGGAAAGGAGTTAAGCAAAGTATTGCCACACTCTACCTGGTGAAACTGAATGTACAATTTATATATGTCTTTGGCTAATGTGTTTTAATTAGATAATCTATTGATTCAATGAACATGCAATATTGAACAACAGCAGAGTTGGTGCACAAAGCAACATAAGTCCTGCTATAGTGACTCTCTTTAATTGATGCCATTATACAAACCTTGCATCAGAGGCAAAGTAAATTTCAATTGGACTGTCTTTGTTCGTTGCCAAACTCGACCAACCAAAACCATTAACAGCCGAGTCTGTTGCCCCAGCCTCATCATGTGTATCACCTAATATATGTGGGAGAAAAAGAGAAACTGCCTGCATGCCTCATTCAAAAAAATTGATTACAATTAACACTTGAAATGGAGATACCTCATTTTCTATTTATATCTATTAAGTTGCATTTCTCACTACTCTGGATACCTTTTCCAGGCACACCAATAAAATAAAAAATTTCAAGATTTCAATTTTTATTGATAGGAACACCTCTCCAGACTTGATATGAACCCGGTTTCTTTGCCAATAGCTTACTAGGTGCTTTCTTCCTTTTTCGGATAACAAAGCTTTCACTGTATTGTACTAAACGATTCATATTTACCTGAACTGTACACAATAGGTAACCTGTCTGTCTTTAGTGGGAATTCACTCTTGATCCCCACAAGCAGTGGACTGCCACGCCTAACAACACAATTGTGACAGAAAAAAAGTTACACCACCATCATGATTTATTACTGATAAACTAACATAAAATTAATAATAAAACTTATATCAATGGCAGTTAGAAGTTTGTTAAACTTAAAGTATTTAGCAGGATCTAATTCCCAATATGTAAATTAAATTTTGCTTGTTTTTATTAACTGGAAGTATTTCAATGCACACAGGTTATAAACAGACTTGTGAATCAGATAGAAGGAGAGGAAAAGAAAAAATTGTGTCATTTAAGTATTTCACTAGATACTTTAAGTACATTTATTAAGAAGGTTGAAAAATATACCGTCCCATAGCAGCCATGGCGCAATTAGAGAGAACTTTGAAGACAACACCTCAAAACCTGCTTCTATTTCAATTAATTCCTGATCAATGGTTCAATATCAGCCACCTTTTGTTTCACAATTGTTTATCACTCTATGTCTGTTTGGTTCATCTTTCCTCTTTGATATTTGTCTATTGGTAAAGTAGAACTTTTATTTTCCATCTATATTTTTTTATCACATAGACAAAAACTCCAGATAGTGAGAAATTTGGTTCCCTATTCTAAATGTTTGACACAAACCTGGTGGCCACAATTTCGCCTGGAAACTTTGAGCTTTTAAAAGCAAGTGCAAAGGCTCCCTCCTGAGGATACAAACATGAACTATTAATAACCTTGATAAAGGGAATGTAACATAGCAAATTAAATTGTTTCAACAGTTTTCATGAGGATTGTAGTTTGTGTCTTGTTATAGATCAGTTTAACCCTTTAATTAAACCCTGAGAGTGACCAGCACCTAATTTCTTCTTACATTAATATGGCTGAATCTGTTGAGAAGAGTGTGACTTTGCATGACATTGCCTTGCATTATGCCTTTTTTGTGAGACAAAGAGTAACAGCTGTTGAGTGATTTTACGGATAAAAATCATGCAGTTTGCGCTGTGTCTGTTGTTGGGATTTTAGGATTTGCTGGGCATCTTTGAGTGTTTTGATTGTGTCTCACCATAATATCTTTCTGTTATTATTTTTTAATAAATCATTGTGTTGTCATTCTGGAGTTTGTTTATGCCTTTGCAACAGAACCAGTCATTAAGATCCCAGGAATAAAGGAAATGATCGCCAACTAAAGAAGCTTTGATTGCTAGACAAATTCTCCTTATCAGTACGAAAGGAAATGCATAGAGAAGAGTATGGAGAATATCGATACTGATGTTAAGGTGCAAAGGGTTAAAAGGCAAATAGCAGAGAGAGAAAAAAAGGGAGAGGCAAAGGAATCAACTTACCAATTGTTGTATGGTCATCTCTACAAGTTCTCTAAATTCTAGTTCCTGTCCTTCTTTCTTCTGTACAGAAAATAAAATCAAACTACCCCTTTAATACATGTATTGCAATAATTTTAATAGTGTTAAACTTATTTGTCAGAAATCCATGGAGATTGGGATCCCAAAGTAATGAGGCAGATGGCTGCCCAGATTCCCCTCCTTATAAGCCTACCTAGAGAATTAAACTTTGCAAGGGCTGGGATAAATTCACACAATCTGGAGGTTTGGAAATTTTTTCAATTATAATCAAGGACAATTAGAATCCAATTAAAATGGATGAACTACATAAAGGAGGAACACAACAGCACTGATGGTGTTAACTCTTCATAGGCCAATTTACCGTTTTGTCATAGAAATACTTGACAAGCTTTGGTATCACTTCAGTGTCTGTTTCAGATTCAAAGCGGAATCCTTTGCTCTCCTGATAAAAGAAAAAAAAAAAAAAAAGAAACCAGTCAAAAAATTGATCCATCCTAACCACATATACAAAATGCACAACTTGCATACACATTGGATATATTTGAGGGTTTGAAGAGAGGGCATGTCAATCATGTTAGTGAATAAAGTCGTTATATCAAAGACAAGGGAGGAGAACTTGTTAGTCAAATGCTAATAAACATGAGTGGTTTTAAAAACAGATCACAACATTTGGCTGAACATTCAACAAAAAAGTGATCAATACTGACTTTCAGAACAAAAAAGACCACCAGACAGGAAAACTCTAAATCCTCTTAAGTAAATATATTTAAAAAAATTTATGGCATCTAGAAGAGACAATCACTAGTCAAACTATAAATTATCAAAGCGGCTTTTTTTCATAATTTAGTTCAGACTAGCCCTTACCAAAAACTTTTTGATATCTTTGTAGTTGGTTATAATGCCATTATGAACTGCCACAAATTCTATAAAAAAAGAGAAAACAACAAATGTTGAAAAAGAAAAATGATTACAATGTGAAACCAGATCAACAACATTATTTAAGGATTTCAATTTTATACTGAAGGTGGATTGCATCAGGTTGTAAATGTTGGCAATTATTCAGCACCTATTCCCTTTATGTGTTTTGCTTGTTCCAGTTTGTATTAGAATTTTAACCCTTTAACTTCCATGAATGACCAATAGAGAATTTCTCCTTACAATGTCAATGCAATATTAAGCAGACAAGTTATGAGAATAAAGAAAAATAGTGGTTATGGGATTTTTAGTTGATCCAATGCCAAATTCTCCAAACTAGCATCATAAGAATTGCATGGCAGATAGTAAAGAGAGTTACTGATAAAATCTCGGGAGTGAAAGGGTTAAGAGGTTCAGAATATTCCAAAAAATACAATGAAGTTTAGAGTGCTTGAACGGCAAAATTCAATGCCCTTTTTTTTTTTTTTTTTTCATAATTGCCTATGTATTGAACTGCCAAAAACAAAACACCATGGAATACTCTATAGCCAAACTTGGGAAATTGGGTACCTAAAAAAAGTAAGTACCAATATGGCACATAGCATGAATGAATGAGTGAATCACATGATATGGCTCACCATTGGATGGGTCTGATCTTTGAGGATGACTGTTCACACCACTTGGTTCACCATGAGTGGCCCAACGGGTGTGAGCAATACCACAATGCTTTCGGAGCTCCTCATCCAAGCTAAAGTCACTCTGAACTAAGAAGAACAACAACTTACTGTAAATTATTATCAATGAAAAATCAATTCACTCTTAAATTTAACAAAATCCTCAGTAGCTCGACTCTAAATGATGACTTTGGCTGAGGTGAACTTACTATCCAACCTTTAGCTCCTTAACCCTTTAACTCCCATAAAAGACCAAGACAGAATTTCTCCTTACAATATCAATACAATATCTGCAGAAAAGTGATGAGAATAAAAATAAATATCAGTTAGGGGATTATAGGTTGATCCAATACCAAATTCTCCGAACTAACATCATGAGAACTGTATAGCAGACAGTAAGGAGAATTACAAATGAGATCTTGGGAGTTAAAGGGTTAAGCCCAATGAATGACAAGCATCCAACTTCTCCTTACAGTATTCAGTCACCATTGAATAAAAATCATTATGATCATGGGAATAAAGGAAATGATCGCTGACCATAAAAGGTCTTGTAGCATTAAAAATATACATAGAACAAAGTGGAGAAAGTGCATGCCAATCTTAGGGTATTAAGGGTTAATAAGCACATTTTGCTACTGAATCTTTTAAAATGCAGTACCTTGGATTTCTTGCTGAAGTGCAGCAACTTTCCCTCTCTTCTTCACAATCCTATAGGTAAGAAATATGGTAAGAAGTTTAATGACAAGCTTAAACTCTTCTTTCTATTTTGCTGAATACAAAGATCTAGTTAACAATTGATCAAAGTTTACTTACTAATTGGCATCTTAGTGAGCATATACTTAGCTAATTTTTAAGCTGAGAAAGATTTTCTTTTCTCTTCTTCTTTCCTCTTTTTTCATTTTAACCTTATAATAATCAGAAAAAGAATCACACAGAATGTTGCTTCCCTTGGTTAAGGAATTCAACAATGTTTTTGACGATTTCACTCAGAACTGAATGACTGCTTCTGGCAGCAAGTAATGAAATAAATCATTGCTGGACTGCAGAAGAGAATGTGGACTTAGAAATTTTAGAAGAAAGCTGTTCTAGACATTTCAGCATAGGTCAACATTTGTTATTTATGGGTTAATGCGTAATAGTCCCACAATTATTTAATCAAAAAGAGCAGTTTTCAACAGCCACACCAATAACAACATTGACCTCAGTAAGACTTCCGCACAACCTCATACTGTTGTAAAATAGATCAGTAGTCTCAAAGGCAATTTATTGTTTTCACCATTCTTTTTCTTTCTCCACAGTGAATTGTGGGGCTATGCAGAAATGTTACTTTGACCTCTGAACTCAAATCATGAAATCAATTTATTTTAAAAAACTACTGCCTCCCATGAACAAAAGAGGCATCAAACATCTAACCCCTCAAGCTTGATTGCAAGTCAAGAAAATCTCAGCCGATGTCAGTTGCAGGAAACCCTCAATATAATTAATTAATCAAATTTATAGACCTCCTTCATCTGGCTCTCAAAACACAAAAAAACAAACCATTATGATGTGCAAAAATACAATCAATCTAAAAACAATCAGCAACAGATATAAGATGCTGTAAAGTTCAACAGTTCAGGATCATTCGCTTGAAGATTTAGAGATTCTTGTATTGAATATCCACGTCACAACTATTAATAACTTTAAAGAAGTAATTTAATATAGAGGACGTTCAGGTGACTTCCTAAAATTCCCGGAAAAGATAGACTAAATGGACAAACTCGCACAATGAAGCTTCGAATTACTAGTAAAAGGAGTGCAATCGTCTTTGATCGGACGAAGAGATCCACGTTGGCAATCCCGTGGTCATGAATAAACATGAAGGGAAATTTGTACTGCAAAGTACAGTTTAATTCTTCAACAGTTGCAAAGTACCTGAGGGTAGCAAAACTGTCTGTTCGTAGACTTAACTCAGCCTCTTTCAGTAGACAAAAATTTGCTCGATTTAGTTAAGCTTGATCGTACAGAATCCGTGCCTCCGAGTGCTTTACTAACGGTTGCCACCACAACAATCCAATCATTGCAAGAAATTTTCGCAATACACAACTGAAGCGGGAAATTCTAAAACTGATGCAAGAGTTACCTCATTTCTCCAACTCCATCGTAGGCCACCCCTGAAATGTTTAAAATCAGTTAGTCCTTCAGTTTATAAAATGTAGAGAAACCATTTTACGACTAATATAAAGCACAAACCTGCAGAGTCGTAGCCTCGATACTCGAGTCGCTGAAGACCACTGATCAAGAGTTCCAGAATGTATTGACGTTTTCGAGGAACGCAGAAGTTTATATATGCAAATATGCCTGTAAAGAAATTGAACAGTACTTATAGAATGGAGCTGGCTGTACAGGATACTCTACACATGACGATTCAGACTTAAGCCTTAAGTATTTATCATAAACCTAGTAAAAACTTCTCTGTATCAGAAAGAATATCGACAGTATAAACTCAATTGTTTTCCTTAAAAAAAAACAAAACATACTCACCACACATGATGTAAATTCCGTAATGAGATGTAGACAAATCCTTCTCACGGCTGAAAGATTTTAAGCTGATTTTAATGCTCGTAATGGCTAAGGACAATTCTCGTGTATGTCTGATTTCAGTCGAACGAACAATTTTTATGAATTCAGTGTTGGTCAATTTCATCTGAAACGTGTTGCCCATGTCAGAAGAGCTACGATTGGTGAATCGGACGAGGGGTTATCCAATCACAAGAGTAAGTAATATATGATGAGCCCTAACTTATACTATCCAGCGGTTAATGAGGAACGAGATATTTTCTTACAAGATCTCTAATTGGTCACTTTTTCTTTCATCCAATGAAAAATCTCCTGAGACAGTGAAATTTATTTATTCAACCAGTGGAACACCCATTCATTTTATCATTTTAACATTTTACTAGAATATCGGAATAATCGCCCTTTGATCTCTTTTCCAATAGTTTCCTAATCATGGACCAGGAATACGATTATGTTATCCTTGGTACAGGACTCAAGGAATGTATTTTGAGTGGTCTGTTGTCCGTAAACGGGAAAAAGGTTCTTCATATGGATCGCAACTCTTACTACGGTGGAGAAAGCACTTCCATGCATCCTCTTGATGAGTTGTTCAAGAGATTTAAAGAATCCGAAGGCCCGGGCGACAGCTTCGGTAATAGTCGGGACTGGAATGTCGACTTGATTCCCAAGTTTTTGATGGCAGATGGTGGTCTTGTCAAGTTGCTGGTTCATACTAAAGTAACGCGTTACTTGGAATTCAAGCAGATTGAAGGAAGCTATGTTTTCCGCGGTGGAAGCGTCTACAAGGTTCCTGCGAATGACAAGGAAGCTCTCTCCTCCAGTCTGATGGGAATCTTTGAGAAACGACGATTTCGATCGTTCCTTCTTTTTGTTCTGAAGTACAACGTAGAAGACCCAACTACTTGGGAAGGCATCGACCCGAAGACTTCGACTATGAAAGATGTTTATTCCAAGTACGGTCTTGATCAGAACACTCAGGACTTCACAGGCCATGCCATCGCTCTGTATCTCGATGATGACTACAAAACAAAGCCGTGTGGGGAGCCTCTACAGCGCATAAAGCTGTACTATGATTCTCTGTCTCGCTACGGTCATAGCCCCTATTTGTATCCTCTCTACGGGCTTGGCGAATTGCCTCAAGGGTTTGCCAGATTGTCGGCAGTTTATGGCGGTACATACATGTTGAATAAACCAGTGGAAGAAATTGTCATGGAGAACGGCGTAGTCTGTGGAGTGAAGTCGGAAGGAGAGGTTGCAAAAACGAAAGCTGTTATCGCCGATCCTTCGTACTTCTCCGAGAGAGTAGAGAAAGTAGGACAAGTTGTTCGGTGCATTTGTATTCTGTCTCACCCAATTCCTAATACAAACGATGCAAAATCCTGCCAGTTGATCATTCCCCAAAATCAAGTTGGCCGAAAATCAGGTAAGTTTGATATCTTTATCGCTTTATTACCATCCTTTGAGATACAACTTCCATCGCTGCGCATAAGACTTTTCGTTCGACAGACGATAAATTCCTTACAATTACAGCAGTTATCTCAATTTCGGGTGTCATAAACCTTTCAGAAAGTGATTCGATTTCCTGATTATCAACTAGGGTCAAACAGCTGTCCGCCATGTTTTTGTTCAAAGATGATAACCTGGATGAGTTTGTGTACATACAAATAAAGTTAAGATAATGTGGTTTCGACGGGAACCTAATTATCGGCATTTTATGTTTTGGAAATCCATTAATGTTCGTTTTACCAGCAAAATCTATTTGTTTCAGGTTTAAGTCACAGGTCTCCTCCTAAATGGAAAATTTCAAAAATTTAAATGACTTTCGAATCGATTTGCATGAAGTTATTAATATTAACAAGATACAGACACCTGTCCATGATTAGTAAACATTATCACAAAGCTTTAGTCGTCGTTGTTATCGCCTGCTCCTTTACTAAATATTGTTGAAATACAAGTGTCATACAGTTTTTTATCCTTTTTACATTAAGAGTGCCCAAACACGACTTTTCCTTATAATATCAGTATATTTTGAAGAAAAAATAAAAATATTGTTGAGGGTGGCAAGGGGTTCCTATGTGAGTGGTAATGAAGGCCAAAATTTGTCTTTACAGGAAGGCAAGCTTGATCTGTGAATTTATGAACTAACCAAAGAGGTGATTTGCCTTCTGTATTTTTTCTTTCATTTCATGAAAACCTCGAGATTTCTTTGAAACTTTACGCACAAGAGGAGAGAGTTGAATTTCCCATTTCGAGTTTGGGATTTGTGAAATGTTGTTCAAAGTATAATATAAGCAAAGCAGGAATATTTCTATTATCTGTGTGTGAAGAGGAATCAGGACCACTCATTACTACCCTCAAAAATAGATACAAAAGATTCAACAAGGAGATATTGTTCTCAGGGCTAAGATTATAAGAAAGCTTCACAGATAGTTTAGGGAATTCATATTTACCCTAGATTGTGTCAGGGAAAGGTCCATTCAATATTTGGTGCAACCTCTGGTTTAAGAAACTTTTTTGTCGAGCAGGACTCTCATATTTCTTTGTGGGGAGCTTATGTGCTGTCAAGTCTAGATTCGAAACCCTCAGTTCAAATTTAAAGCACAGCTTTAATGTTTATCTTTCCATTTTACATGTGTGTGTGTATATATATATAAATTCATATCTATCTTTTTGCCTATTTTCTGATGGGCTGTTAACTTTGAGTCCTGGGACAACTGAGACCAGTAATTCAACCACTTCCTTTTCATTCTAACTTTAAATTTCTATTTATCTCCCATATTTTTATTGGCAGCAAACAAATTTAACTAATATCATGTTTTTATGGGTGATATTCTATATATTTCAATTTCCTAATCATCAAGGATCCAATTTTGTGAGAAATTTTCTCAAGTGTTTGACTCCTGAGACATTACCGATTTTTTTAAAATTTTTTTACCCATTTCTACCAGATATCTATGTGTGCTGTATGTCTCACACCAACTCAGTCACCCCAAGAGCTAAATATTTGGCTATTGTTAGCACCAAAATTGAGACGAATGACCCTTCGTCCGAGTTACAGCCTGGCTTGAATCTTCTTGGCAAGATTGACAAGAAGTTTGTATGGATCAGTGACATGTACATGCCTAAAGATGATGGTAAAGAAAGTAAGGTATGTAGTCATTATGCCTCCAGTTCTTTTTACGGACTGTTCTCTTGCTTCATTAAAGATACAATTTAACCCTAAACTCTTAGGAGTAATAAACATCTAGAGGACATTACAGCCTAGAAGCATTTGACCATCTTAATGTGTTGTAAGCACTTTACAAACTAGTTTGTGTTTAAAAGAGAACAGGCTATAAACACACTGCTTTTGTAACTGTGTTTTTTTTCCATGGCCAATGTCTTTGCAGTTGCTCATTATTTAAACAAGTTATTGAACAGAATAAAATATTTAACATCGTCAGTTAGTAAACATTTGGTTAGTAACTGCAATTATTTTTTTTTTCAAAAGCAGACTTTTGGACTTTGCTCCTGTAGCTGGCTCTTGTATATATCTGGCTTATTTATAAAAATTGAATTGAAATGGGAGAAGTGATCAAACTGCCTTGTTGACTAGAGAAAGAGGCTTTTCCATCTTGTCATAAGAGACAAAGAAAAAATTCTGAGTCCCATGGGTGATCAAACCTTAAACCTTCAGATTTTCATAAAAATTAGCCATCTCTATCCTTTGATTTGCCTAGTAAACTGTAGACTGCTTGGCGTTGTACTCAATATACCCCAATGTGTATATCAGTGTTACTGTTAGTAATAATTGTTACAGCAGTAAACCAAAGTAAACAGAGTTTAATATCTCACTTGACCTTTTAGCAGGAAGAAAAATATCGTGATCAGTCTTGTTGCATTCCAGCATGTACATGAATCATTTATTGTCACAATGATATGCTTTTACTTTAAAATTTGCACTTGTTTGTTTCATTATTTTGGTTAAACAGTCCAAAGCATGTATTAGTGTTATATTGCTTCCCAAAATTGCTGACTGATATTTGGCGACAGGCAATACAAAAGTAGAAAATGTTTCAAATGAAATTGCTGTTCCTACATGTAGGTCTTTAGAGTATTGCTATTTTTCTGGGATGAAATTGTTGTCCATTGCAGTTACAAGAATTAGTTGAATTTCCTTCCTGATAGTTTTCTGTTACTCATTTAATATGCAGTTGTGAAGAAGCACTGTATGAAACAAGTGCTGATCTAAAGTTTATTACCAGACCCCTGATCGAGAGTTTTGGGTTTGAGACAGCCTGCAGTGCAGGTGTCTTACTAGGGTTAGGTAATTTTAAGAAGTTCACAATCATTTATTTAACCCACCATGTTTGATTTGGAGTTACAGTCTGTGTGTTGGGGGGGGGGGGGGGGGGGGGGTACAAATTTCTTTTTCTTCCCAGTCTTCAGCTGCTCCAAAAATCAAATGTGGCAGTTATAATTTTCACCAAGACAATGCTTAGTACATGCCTGCCAAAATTACAGCTGAACTGAAGGCTATGTTTGAGACCAGGTCAGGTTATAGAGTTGCGTCCCAAGGCAAGACACTTAACTTCGACTTACAGTGCTTCTCTCCACTCAGGAATATAGATGAGTACCAGTGAATTGTCAGGGAGGCCTTACAAAATGCTGTAGGGTAACCGGCAACGGACTGGTATCCCATTTAGGAAAAGTAACCATACCCTTGCTCTAGAAACTAAGAGGAGCTCCAGTTGGTGGAGCCTCTTGGCTCAAGTATAGATGTCACCTCTTGACTGTGGGAGGAAAGTAACTTGTAAAAAGGTGGTTACTGGTGGTGTACTGCTGCCAATAAGACCTCCCACTGCTGCTTGTTGACCTCAGGAGCAGGCTGTGATGTTTTGGCTCCTTTAGTGGCCACAGCCATCTATTACACCATGGGCAGTTACTCATGGAAAAATTTTGTTAAAACCCCTGTTCTGCAGTAACCAGTATTTCACCATGTCTCTCAAAGATGTATAATTTGGACTTACCCTTTTTTGCCATTTATTTCATCAGATATTCATTTCGAAGTCTTACGATGCTACTACTCATTTTGAAACTGTCTGCGAAGATATCATGGATATGTATGAGAGGATCACAGGGGAAAAGTTTGACCCCAGTTCAATTTCTTTAGAAGATGTCAAAGTTGAGAATTAATTTCTTGCAATAATTTCAGTATAATTGTAGTGTAACAATTTTTGAGATGGCATTCCCCATCATATGATAATTATTTCATATTTGGACAAACTGGTATTGACAGTGAGACTAATTTTAAGTGACAGTGATTAGTTTTCAAGTGAAGGAAGATCTCAGTGTGGTGATGGCTTATATGGCTAACAGTTAAAAATTTGGTCATTGTGCAACTAATGGTTAATTTCTTTCTGTTAAGATTAAAAGGAGAATTTTTACGGTTAACTTTTCTTTTTTGATTAACAGTTAAAGTTGTCAAGATTTGTGCCTAATGGCTTACCTGTTTTGCCATTTTACTGCTAACAGTTAACCCCATTGAGACCCTGGTAAAGGATGTTAATCAAGAATGTATCATTTAATCCTTTCATTCCCAAGATCTCATTTAGTTGGTACTTCTCCTTTGTGTCTGCCATGCAATTCTTATGATTTTCCTTATGGGAATTTGGTATTGGATCAACAGATAGTTTCTTAATTGATATTTTTCTCCATTCTCATCACTTGTCTGCCTGATATGGTATTAGCATTGTAAGGAGAAATTCTCTCTTGGTCACTCATGGGAGGTGAAAGGTTAAGTTTGAAATTAAGAACAACAGGGGCAAAACAAGAATCCATCAAGCTGATTCAATTATTATTTAACAGTTATTTGTCAAAGGTGAAGTGAATATTGTTGAATGATACCCAAGACTAAGTGGAAGGGACTATTCCAAAATATTCAATGAGCAAGAGGTGAATAAATTTTCTGTATAATTGCTGGGTGCTTTTGTATTCTGTTATAAATTCATTCTGTTGGTGAAACAATTCTGTTATCATTTCTTTTTTTGATTAATCATTTCAAGATAAGCAGATAAGACCCAGGTTAGTTGTTAACATCCTTGTAAACAAACAGTAAAGTTTATAAACTAGATTCTCACATTGATATAAATCCCTGAAAACATGCAATCATTTGGGAACAGTAATTCAATAATGAAAACTTTTTAAGTTGATCCAACTTTGACCAATTAAAGATGATTGTTGTTCCCATAACCTAACCCTTTGACCCCTGAGAGTGATCAGCATCTAATTTCTCTTTACAATATTACACCTGGATCAAACATTATGGTCATAAGAATAAGGGAAGTGATCATCACATAAAGAAGTTCTTGATTTTCAAACAATTCTCCTCGTCAACGCCTTAGGAAATGTTTGGAGAATATGCCTGAATGGACATCCATTGTCTAAGAATCATGTAAGCCTGTCACTGGAAATCATTTTTATTTCAATCAGTTGCTAGTTAACCACTCATCAGATAATTATGTCACCTGTAATGAGAGATTATAGGGTGAGCTGCCCATAGGGCAAGTACAAAAACAGAATAATTTATTATGTGATATATTATTTATTAGTTTTAATTATAAGAGACATATCCACTGATCAGTAGGAGTTAAAGTTTGTTCAGAAGGATACAGCAGTCAAGTGTAGTTATTTAAAAGGAAATCCATTTTTGGTGCCTGGGCATCAATGCCCTGTGCAAAATTTCTATGGAAAATATAAGAAACAACTACTGTCTGGCAACATGAGAGAGAGAAAATTAATATGTTCGTATAAATTTGTGAAAGGATACCAAAGTAGAAAAAAGAACAGCTCAAACTTTTTGAACACAAAGATTTTTCAAGTACAAGAATCTTGCTGACTTATCATTCTGTTTTGAGCTTTACTAAAAAAATTGTATGCATCTAAAATTCTGTGGCCCATTGGCTCATGTAGTTACTTGAAGTTTGTGAGACAACTTGGTTCTGACAGCCTGAAAGCAAGCCATCTAGTCAATAAAGTGTTTGCTCATGCACAGACATGTGACTGCTGTGTTGTTCAGAATGAGAGTATGATTGATAGTGCTAAAGTTCACGTTTCAAGAAACTGGTTCACTTAAAATTTTTACTCAGAAAAGTTTTTAGGAACCATGGTTTATTTTCAAAATAACTGAAAGGAAAGACTGACCTAATGCTAATTTTAACAAAATATTAGTTTCTTTCTGGGTAATTATCAGTATGTGATTACTTTGACAAGTCACAAATATTGCAAACAGGTTTTTCCTTCTAGAAAATTTTATTATTATAGTTTTCTTGTTTTAATAATATTTAAGAGGTAGCAACTCAAGCATTTAGAGACTTAAAATAAAATTTGTGTTAGTCAACCATAAAGTTCAACTTTTAGAGATTGCAATGAAATAGTTCACACAAAGTCAGAGAAATAAAAAATTATTCTCTGAAAATACATTAAGACAGAATATGTCCTTAGTAATGTTATATTACAAAGCAGTAGTTTCTCTGTTCTTCACCGTTCATGGTTAAACTGTGTTCTTCTATGTGGAGATATCTTTGTTTGTTAAATGTGGTATCCATCAAAAAAGGCCTCCTTTAAAGAGATACACAGTGTATGCCTAACTTTGTTATAAAGAAGTAGAATAAGATTGCTTAGAATTCAACACAAGATTTATTATCATTATGGTATCAGCGTGAACTAACCACTGAAATTGTTGTAATTCACTGCTGCATCCTTTCAGCCATCTAAAATTGTCTCGTAGCACTTTTGGTATATTTTTGATTGATTGCTAAAACCTCATGACAGGAAGAGTAGGCAGGTGGCCATGGAAAGACGTCTCTGACTCTTTCTTCAAAAATTATGAGAAAAACAACTACAATCACATTGATTTGTATTTTAGGTTGCTCTGAAATACTTGTTCTGCTGTTGAAATGTATGTGATTTTGCAGTCATTGGAGAGTAATACACACTCTAAATACTCGGAGATGAAACTTGCATTTCTCAACTGCCTCATGTTATATACAAGTTTTCATTCTATTTTTGAATCGAATAAACATTTCATTCTCCTCACAGGAATAATGATATTTTTGTGTATTTTTATGTTGAATTTTATTTTCTGTAGGAAAGTGGTTAAATCAATTATTGGAAAGAACAAACTCATGTAGGAATTGAATCAGATGTAACTGGAGCAGCTTTCTTTATTCAGACGCTTACCAAGGCTTTGTGTAACATGTGTATTTTACTGGTTTACATAGGAAATGGTGTCAAATAAAAGATTGTATGCTTAAACCTCCTATATTGTACTTAAAGTAATTATTTATGCAAATACTCCGAACCAAATATAATTTCTTAAAATGCTCTTTATGAGGCTGTTTCAAGCAAACCTCTGCGTTCCAAGTTATGTGTCCAATGTTTCAGAATACCTTTCGGACGGGATAAACCTGGTATGGTCTAACTTAGATTTTCATTAAACCGAAGGCTAAGTTGTTTTCATTCTGACCACCCCTTCTAGCTGTTGATAATTTGCATAATAAATTGCGTCGGCCATCGAGCAGCTTGTGCCAGTCGTTTCTCCGATAATTTGGGGCTTTTCCATATTTTTTACGTTTTGCCTCGAGTATTTGGCACTCGATAGCAGCGAAGGCTTATGAGGAATGAGTCTCAAGAGACTGTTGCACACTAGAAAATACTACAAAATCAGTTTCCAGGTTAAATGGAAAACCATGGAATTTAGAGAAAAGCGGTGAAGGCACTGTTCGGAATTCCATTTTTATTGCGATTCGCAGAAGTCCTTTGAGTCGGCAAACCCAGGAAAAGTTGTTCTCAGCAGGAGTCTGGCGTGTCCAACCTTAGTGTAGAGCAGTAAGAGATTAAGGTGACAGGCACTTTAATTAAAAACAAAGAACAAGACAAAACAAAAAACAGAACAAATTTATACCATTTACTGTTTGATTATGGAATATAGATATTTTGAAATTATGACAATAGAAATAACTGACATAAATTCGCGACTGGTGGCTTGGCTTCACAACCCGAGTTCTTGAAATAAATAAAGGGAGTAAGTTTCTGCTCATGCGTGCAGTTCCGTAAAATGCTCATTCTCGTTCCCACGTCCTCGCGGGTCGGACGCGGACGGTTAGTGAGAACGACTAGCTTTAAGAACGGGGTTTCAAAGTAATTGTTTTCGTTTATGTACACGCACATTTCTGCGCATTTAGTCTGTCACCTTCGCAATATTTAAAAACCTCAAAATTATTTTCGTGATCCGTCCAGAGTCATATGACACTAATCAAAGTCGGCTAATCGAATGATAGAATGTCTAGAACATTTTCCTAATAGGATATGGTGAATTGGTAATGTCTTGCGTCACTTAAATTATTTGCTCCGAGCTTCGCCAGCTCGCTTAATTGATACAAACACAAGACATCTTTCCTACCTCATCCAATAGTTTTGATAAACAAAATTAGTGTGATTTAGACAAAGTAAGAAAAAATGTTTTAAAAGGCTTCAATTGATTTTCACTATTCTGCAAAATCGTCCAGACTATTCAATGTTTTTAAAAATGTTATTGCCCATTTTTCAAGTTTGACAGCGGTAACTGTCACCTGCTTCAGACTCTCACGGTAATAAGTAATAATCTTCGCTATTATGACGATACCATAATTTATTCGAAAGATTCAAGCCGTTATTTTCATAAACGCTTTGTTAAATGAAGAATGGAGAAGTTTCACGTAAACAATTTTGATCAGATTAGGAACTAACTTCATTTCCATAAAGAGATCTTTTTAAAACGGAACACTAGAAGCCAATTTATAAATACATTTTTTACATTTTTATCAGTTTTATTTTATCACGGTCGTGAGAAGTGTATGATAATCGGCGCGAAACTTACAAAATTAAGGTGCGCACATTCTAGACAACACAAAGTGGGTAACTTGAGTTGCCTTTGAGTCTGTGTAAAAGGTTTTACCGAATACGTTTCGTTCGCGAAAAGTTATGGTATGGAGGCCTCTTTATTCTACATAGGAAAATATACGACAAGCAAAAGCCATCTACACACTACGTTTGTGATTTTACAGTTCACGTGAAAATCGAAACATTTGCGTGAGGAGATAGAGAGAATACGACTTAAAACATTTTAAACTTACGCCATGAAATAAGTCAGTAAGGTAATGCGATTGGAGAAACCTACTCTGTAAACATTTTGACCTTCGCGCGGTTCAGACAATTTCGTGATATGACATTATAATTCAAGATAATTTGTTAAAAACCCAAATCACTATTTGTACCGTAGTGATGGCAATTGTAGATTATCAAAGAAGAATGAAATTGCCATCAGAACGCGTTGATTGCATTTCGTGTCTATTTAATGATTTATCATCCCAAAGAGCTTTGTGGAAAGCCCCTTGGCCTGTACAAGGACTTGCCAAGTTTGATTGATTTAGAACCATTTATTGCCCTAAGAAAAAAGAAAACATTTGCATACGACATACGAATGAATAAACACAATTGCAACCAACGAATCAAAAAGGAACAGGAGAATTAAATACAGCGTTGAGGTTTCGAAGGGCCTTCATTTTTACAAATGTCCAACGGCGAAAAATGTCTTGCACAAATCTGGTGTTTGTTACTTTCCTCGCTTTCTTTGTTTGCTTTCGTCTTCTTCCAGTGAAAGGAGTGCAAGTTTTCAAATTAGGTAAGCGAATGAAACTCTCTAATGAGTATAGTTTGTTAAATTAAATCGTCTGAAGGGAAATGTTTCAGTTAACCTGGCCAGTCGGCGGTTAACAACAAGTTTATACATGTATTTGCATTTTAGGTGCTATTTTCCCCAAGAACAACACAGATTTAGACGAAAAGATTTTAAGGTTTGCAATCGACACCGTGAATAAAGAGGGATGGCTCTCCAATATCACTCTTAACTGTTCGATACGATATGCGGCTGCAGATAATTCGTTTGAGAATATTTATAAAGGTAAGCTGGAACAACCCTGTTTACCCTGTTCAAGTGCTTCACCCCAGATCATAAAATTTTAACAGATCCGAAGTCTTCTTTCGACGAGAAAAAGACCGTCTGAGGTTACCTAAATACCGTTAAGTCTTTACATTTCTCATTTCTCTAACGGTATTTCCCTTTTTTAAGGGCTAACCGTTAATTTACAGGAAATGGATGCGGCTAGATGTGTCAATGCGAAACAATTCTTTGGTGCTCATTGAAACAGCGTGACATATCACACTCTAATCTATAATAAATAGTGACAATTTTTTCCCTCACAAACGCGAAAAAGTTAAATTAAAATTGATTAACATCCTCATTTTTAGAAACTGAAATAAATACTCGTGCACCTTATCAAAATGAAAGTTAATTTTATCGTTAAATATTAAAAAGCGTCCTCCAATTTAAACTTCACTTTCTTAAAACGTGGCTTTTGGCAAATGGCACGTTGTTCAATCAAAATTTTTCCTCATCTATCATGATGGTAAAAGCAATATATTGTGAATGAAACATGTGTTCTTCAGAGAGATTATTAAATTTTTGAATGCCAACAAATTATCTCAAATTGCTACAATGCTTTATTTTCGCACAATATTTATGCTGTTTTTTCTCTCCTTCTTTGGCTTCAGTAATAGGCCTTTACAGTTGTGTACTTAGTTGCCAAGTCTTTGATTTAGAGTGTGGCTGAAGGTGACCTTGTTGTGATAGAGACCAGTATCAAGTTAGCATGATAGCAAAGTAATTTGCATTCGAAAGCAGCAAGGTTTTCATCAAAACAAGGTCAACCTTAGCCTGTCCAAAGCCTTGGCAACCAAGCACACAACTGTAAAATGGACTATTTGTAATTTTCTTTCCTACTGTGTGAATGCAATTACAAAATTACCTAGCTGTTTGTGAAAGGTTGAACGCGGTGTTTCATCGCGTGGTCCATTTTAAGTCATATTTAAATTTTTATGGATGAAACTGAATGCATTCCGAACAAAAAAAAATCTTAACTTTTTTTTTAGTGTCAGTGGATGCCATGATCATCCATAGCAAGGTTACTGAAAAAAATCTGCCTTATCATACCTTTAACTTAAAAGTCTCCCAAAAGAGAAAAGAATTGAATGCATTGTCTCCCGACCCCTGAGAGTTTCGGTGCGCTAGTGATTGCGAATCCTTCCTAACGCCATACAGCTTTGGTTCAAGTCAGAGGTAGCCTGCAGAATAGCATTTTTCAGTCAAACGGAGGAGGACTCCCCTCGCGCGCGACTTGCAATTCGCACTCGCCTAGCACTTGTCTCCGTTCGCCTGTAAGACACAAAAATTAACGCCGGTTCTGCAGGCTAAGTCAGAGGAAGTTATTTGAACATTATGAAAATAGCGGTCAAACGTTTGCTTATGTGTATACGCTTAAACAGTACGATGACCGGCCCGACATCTTACTTTCAGGCCGCTAGAACCGAGTAGTCTCACAGGAGTCATTAACAACCAATAAAGCTGGTAAATCACGGTGTTTTTGAACAGTTCAACGCTTTTGAAGCTCAAGACAAGATCTTGAATGAATAAAAAAAACCTGTGTGTCACTTGTAAACTCATAATTTTACACTTCTTCCCTTGTTTAGTCAATCAGCTGATCAACGAGGGAGTGATTGCAATCATTGGTCCAAAGACTTCAGTTGCTGTGAAAGCGACGCACCCATTATGTTCTAAGTTGCAAATTCCCCAGATTAGCGCCAGTGCCACGGATCCAGATTTGTATTTCAATTCTCGTGGTCGTTACAGGTACTTGCTGCGCATGTCTCCTGATGATACACAAATGAATATTGCGATGAAGGAATTAATTGCACACCACAAGTGGAAAAGAATGGGAATCTTAACAGCAAGCACACTTTATGGTAAGCCATTTAGTTGTCACTTGAACACAATGAACGGCGTGTTAGGCACCACTCAACCATATCCATAGCCAGAGGGTCTTCATGTGGTTAACCCATCAGCAGTCAGGCGTAAAAAAAATTGGCAAATTTTGACCGTCAGTTTATAAATAGATTAACCGTAATATTTTTTTCGTCGACCACGTCGGAAAGAAACTGACGGTTAGCCGTAAAATGGCCTAAATTTTAAATGTTAGCCGCAAAAGCCATTACACCTCTGGCACCCTCAAGTCAATACCTAGTCCACTCTAAATGCTTGTCTTTCAGTAATATTGCTCGAAGATAGTCAAAGCTCCCAAAAATTCTTCGAATTAACACCCATCAAGAAACCAAGAATTTAAAAAATAATGAAAGTATGGCAAATTTTGAACCTAGAAATGTAACATATCCTCCCTTACGTGTAGGAGGGGAGGGCAGGGTCAAGACTGCGGAGCTCAAAGTTCACCATCTTTTTATATTAGTTCTATATAACTTCTTAAGTCCATTTAGATTCTTTATCTTTAGAAATAAAAATTTGAACAGGTTGCCCACGGACTCCAATATCTAACTGGAACTTTGTCACAAATGACTTACCAATACGCATGCCTGTCTTCCGCGAATTTGGTCGGCACCACACGCCACAATCAGCCAATCAATTGAAACTTGGTGGCTTGCATGTTAATAAAAGATATAAAAGTTCATTCCATATAATTTGATATTTCAGACATGAATGCATTGAGCCAATTCATAGGGTTTGCTACAGCCAAAAAGTGGGAAATACTGGGAGTTGAGCACTTTACAGTCACAGCTGGTAGTTATAAAATAAATGCTACAAAAAACCTGTTAAATCTGAGGGAGAAGGGCGCACGCGTGATACTGTTAAGTTGCCAAGCTGATTATGTACCACAAGTACTGGAACAAGCGGAACAATTGGACATGATCAGAGAATGGGTGTGGATTTTGACTGACAATGCAATTTCTCAGGTTAGCGAATAGAATCTTTTGTAACTTTTTGGCGTCAATTGTGATGCACCGATAGTACCTTTTAATCCCTGTGATCAGTGGCTACAATTATTCGTATAACCTACAAGCAAGCCCTCGTCATATTATTAGCGCTGCAAGGCGAGCGTTTCTCCGCCCGCGCAATAGAATTGAAATGAATCTGAGAGAGGTTTGCTGGAGGTCTGTAAATCGGTTAGAACTAAAGGAGGCTCCGACGGGTAGTAACCAGTCACAGAGCAGTATTTTGTACCACGTGACCCATTTGACCAATCAGAAAGCTTTATTGGGCCACACCCCTTAAGTTTGAAAAAACAACGCCTAATTAACCACCTACTACCCACAGGAGCCCCCTTTACTATTTCGGTTCCAGACCCCTTCCAGACTTCTCAACGGCTCGCGTTGCCTAAAGGCCTCATACTCTCTCGAGGGCGAAGAAACACTCATATCCAAGCATCCGGTCGCACAACCATTGCGTGCCTGGTTTGTTGGTATTTTACAAAACAACAGATATGCATTATACATCGAGCAAACGTGAAGAAGTTGACTGCACTAGCTCCTTTCCTTAGCTTTTAAAAACTCATTCGTAGCCAAGGTCCATGAGGGCGCAAAAAAAGATAAAATAATACAACAGAGCTTCAAATAAGTTCCCAAACTCGTTAAGGCCTTGGTTTTTCATGGAAACCTCCAAAGAAGTGTTTTACAATTCCATTGCTGTAAAAACGGTTGTAAAGGATCTCTCTCCTAAAACTTGTAAGTAGGTGAGCCAGCTGCAAAGATTGCAATTTTAGGCGGGTAGTATGGGTCCATCTGGCCTTTTCTGGTAGCCGAACAGAGTATGCTGTGGCAAAACGATCATTGTGGGGAATCATTACTTCACGCATGTTGTATTTTCTCTGTTTTTTCATAGCTGTGCCCTTAAGATATTTTACCCGCTGACCCTCAATTAACCTCTAAGATGTATATGTTTCAGGATAACAGAGATATTTCTTACAAAGAGGGAGTCATTGGCGTGCGTTTACCCGTCAGAGGTCGTGGCCAACTGTTTGATAGTGTCTCGAAGGAATGGAGCAAAATTGATGAAACGTCATCTATCAATGTAGGTCTGGGGACCAATCATTATTTATTACGCCTGGGGGGGAGGGAGGATCGAGGAGTGATCAGCTGTCGCCAACAGACTATAAAGGAGGATCATTAGAGTATTACAGGACCTCACACGGGGAAGGGGGGGGGGACCAGATGAATTTTGTCGTAGCCCCGTTAAAATCTTCAAAACCCCCATTCCCCGGGCGACAGATAATGAGCGATATCTTATATCATTCTATCAGTTATCTGGTGCAGCCAAATCTTTGGCGGCAAATGTCTTTATAAATTAGCACACGCTCAACCTTTGAGTATCTCTTGCTGCAATGCAAAGTTCGATGAAATTTGTCAGTCTCGCGTGGGCAATGAAGGAAAATAGATTGGGAACATCTCCGACTTTAAAGGCAGTAGTTTTAAAAATGCTTAACTTTTTCATGATCTTCTTAACGTGAGTCTCTGGACTGGAGTTTCATGTCAGCAAACGTGTGGCCGTACCCTCCCCCGTCAAGGTGAAACGGAAGCGAGTGAACGTCTACGTTACCTCGTCTCCGGTTCACCTTGCTACACTTAAGCTAGTTTTATGTAGGCCCTTGTAAATTGCACTTGCATAATCTAGATCTTTGGCATAATTTGGAAAAACGCGCATAATGTCTGGTCTTTTTATAAAAGTAGCATTGCAAGCATTATCAGCATATTTTAATTTTTTTATTTTTTTGAAGAGAACATTACCAGAGTCATGACTTGTTTGGTATCTAAGATTTACTGTTTGCGAGTTCGTTCCACGTTTCAGTCTCTTATCAATTTTGAAAGGTCTTGAGGGAAGAAGGTTCCCAGAATAACTATACGAAGTCGTTCGTCCTCTAGAGGACTGGGCAAAACAGTCCTAGTTCCCGCTTTTACTGAAATAATAAAATGACGTCAAAAGAAACGTAGTGCTAACATCGTACATTGGAATTAAGTGCAGCAGTTAATTGTGTTTGATTAGAGCAAGCATGTGACTCAAAATAAAGAAGAATCATGCTTTATTAAAAACAAGTATTAAGTATGGACTTATTTCTGTTCCTTTTTTCGAAAAGCATCCTTCGTAAGAAGTACCATAATTTTGAAAAACGAGCGTAAATTAGGAAAAAATAGAGCAATGCTAGTAGCATAATATGCTACTTTTACTAGAACAATCTTTCAGGGCCTAAATGCGTGATATCTCGAACCACGGCTGCGAAGAAGACTTGAAACAAACTTTTTTTTTAATGTGTCCTCTGTTATTTCATTTACAACAGGCTCGGTCAGGACGGATCTATGACGCTGTTTTAACTGTCGCCAGGGCTATCGAAGGAATTCTTTCTCAGAACGAATCACTCTCGCAGCCTCCTGTTGGCAATGGACTGTGCAGATCTGATAAACCGTGG